TTTTGTCCTAATTAATCGGGGTTGAAAGTCGGGTGAACATGTTTTATATGTTTATTAATTTTTGAATCATTTAACAATTTAATTAAGTAATCTGTACCAACATATACTATAATTTAGATTCTTAGAAAATTATAGAAAAAATCTAAAAAATCATATACTATGATCACAGAGTCATAATATCTCAAAAAAACATCAATGGAGTACCACTTGAGACCATCAATTCGATAAACGGAGTATCTAGGACCGTTGATTCGATAGTATGAAATTGCCCCTAAACAGTTAATGAGAGAGAGAGACAAAGCACAGAACCATACAATCTCAAAAACCATAGTATTTGTAACCCTAAAGCAAAACCACCGACCACCAACTGACCTAGGACCATCGATTCGAAGAAATCATTACTTGAGACCATCGATTTGTTGGCATCAAATAGTTTCCAAACAGTCAACTCTAAGAGAGACATAGAGGAAGAGTACCTGAAAGACTGGGACTCAAAAAGAGGCTAGAGAGAACTTATAATAGAGAGGCGAGAGAGGGCGAGCTACTGAGCTATGAAGTCTAACAGAGAGGGCGAGCTACTGAGCAAAGAGACAAGAGAGGGAGAGAGGCGAGAGAGGTGAAATGAGAAGGCAACGAGGCGTTAGGAACTTATGATTTTTAGTTTATAGGAATACGAAAATTTGATGGGTAATTTGCATGTTTACTTGATTTTTTCGATTAGTCGATTAATAGAGTTGGCGAGTATGGTAAAATATTATGAATAATTAAAAATTTGAACACCCTTAGTCAACGCCTCTCTCTGTGCCTCCACTTATGTCTTATTGTCCGCCTCTATCAGCTTCCCTTCTATATTCTAATGGAGTCCAGATTGCAACCATAGGTGCTGGGTTTTAGGGGTAAATGGTTTGGGGTTTGGTGTATGGTGGTAGGCTATGCTTTTGTGTTTTTGCCTTTGGTCAGTTGTTTGTGAGTATGAGTATTTTTGTGTTGGATTGGTTTTTATGGAGGGCCTACAGTTACTGAGAAAGTAGGCCTGGTAGAGGCCTGTGTTTCGTTTCTGGGTCAATTGGAACCTGGCCCATTTTAGTTGAGTAGGTGGGTTGAGTATGGACTAAGAGCATCAATTTTCCATTAATATAACTCGATCCGAACTCGACAAGACACAAAATTCAAAAATGGCATGATTATTTAACACGAGTAATAAATTAATCAAATTAATGTTAGACACGAATAATACGATTAATGGGTGATTTAAATTAAAAATAAATATTTAATAACAAGTGCTGTAGACAAAAAATTAATATTTTATATATTTTTTTAAAATTTTTTAAATAATATTATATGAGTTGATGTAAAATTAAGAATTTTTTTATTAACACGAAACGACACGTATCGAAAATGACACAAATAAAAATAAAACGAACGAAAATGACATGGCACGACACGATTGACACCCCTAATATAGACTCTTAGTTTGATTTTAAATCAAGCTGAAACTGAGCTAATTGATGCCAGATAAATCAAAGTTTGGTTAGCCTAATGGGTTTTCTACGAATTTCACAATACTCTGTCCTGTATGAAACGTGGGCATAAAGCTCATCTCTACCACACAACTGGCTATATTTATGCTTTCATTTTTTATATAGTCACAAGTTCACACACTAGATGCCTTAAATACACTTGAGCCACCTAGATGTATTAGTTGAAAGATGCCAGTGAACATTTCTTGCCAAGTGAAAAATTAGTCAATCGCATTGATTACGTTTTGAATTTCTTATCACTATTCTCTTCCTCTGTCATATTTCTTGTTAGTTTTAATCCATCTCAATTCTCACAACATTGGTGAGGTTATATCTGTAGAATAATTATGAGTTAAAAGGGTGTACTCAGTGCACAGATTTTCTGTCATTATAGAGTTTATCGAGGATTAAATATACAGTTTTATCTCTTCAAACAAAGATGTTGTTTCCGTAACTTAAAATTCAATAAAACAACCTACTTATGAGTCATTGATTTTTTTTTTTTCTGTTCCATGTTGCATATAATTGAGCTGTCGGGTTGGGTTCCTTACTTACCCAACAATCTCAAAGGCAGGCATGCAATCATTCTTTCTGGATTTTGCAGAGTAGGGTAAAGGGTCTTGCTAGTTGTCATTATGTACTTGGTTTCTTGTAATCCAACTTACCAACTACCCCCAAATCAAAAACTTCTTTTATATGTTTACCTATCTCAGTTGGCCATGAAACCATTATGAGACTAGTGAGACTCGACTCGCATCGTGTTTGAGGATGTGTAGTTCATTAATCACATGGTCAGATCCACTTTGCTCAAAAAAAAAATTCTTCTAAAGTTGAAATACATAAATTTTTGCATTACAACTCAGTACCCACGAAACTCAACTGATCCAGTGGGAATTAATCTCTAGTTTCTTAATATTAGGGGTCAAATGCTGCCGTTGCAGCCCCTCCCCAAGTTGTAAACATGTATGAATTAATATGTCGACAAAAAAAAAAGGAAATAGGCTTTAAATTGAAGGAGGAGAGGTATAGTTAGAAGATCCCAAAGTGGGTGTCTATGTCAAATATTCAAGCAAATACCAAAGAATAAATTGTAAGATGCCATTTTTGAAGCTTTATCCACCTTGTGTGGGTCAGTTGATACAGACTATTTCAGCTAAGGTTCAGTGACCTCACATGGGAGAGGAGGAAGAACAACCAAAAGGTAGGTAAAAGGTTTTTACGACAGCCCCACGAGTCTTGCCCAATACCTAAGCACTTGACATCCACGAGCTGCTGAGCTGGCTGTCACCATATACTTTCAGATTATTGCCTACCCTATAAACAGATCATGCCCTCAAGTTCTCCAACCAGTTAAGTAATGCTAATCTTCGATTTCTTTTTTAATTCCAGTAATTTCCCTTTCTGGGTTTTATGATTTATTGCTATTTATAACGATGAATCTAACATATTTCGAAATAAAAGGAAGAGGGAATCCGGGAACCATTTTATGACTCGTAAGGCTCGACCTTAGACATTGCCCTGAATTGATCGTTTTGCGCATAAAACTATCTGTGAACACTGGTCCTAAATTAATGCAATCCTTGTTGCGATCGGGTCGAAACAGGGTAACGCTACAATCATCTCTCCACCTAAATATTTTCAAAATTATGTTGATTTTGGCTTTCTCTGTTTTTGAACAGAATGTGGATAGCTTTGAACTGTTGTGCACTTGGCTTGAATTTTGAAAGAAATTACATGGATAAGCTTTGTTGGGCTATTGCCGAAAAGCAGATAATGCAGGGGTGGGAATTATTTCACAAGCTTTGACATGGTTCGACATCAAAGGTGGAGCCATTTCTGGACCATGACCGTCGGGGAAAGTGAAAAGGTAGGTAAAATAAACGCATGAAATTACACAAGTGGACACCTCTCTCTATCTCTCTCTCTAAAATCCATCATAACCAAGTTTATGAGAAGATTGAGTGGTGAAAGCCCTCCTTCCCCCCCCAAACCCAACACCCACAGATCCATCATAACCAAGTTTATGAGAAGATTGAGTGGTGAAAACCCCCCAAAACCCAACCCAACACCAGAGAGAGAGAGAGAGAGAGAGAGAGAGAGATCATGTATGGGGAAGGGTAGCAAATAATATGAGCAAATTGTCAGGATATAGTAACAAAAAGATGAATTAACCTCCCATAAGGTTTGGTGATAAAAAAAAAAAGAAAAAAAGAAAACAGGAAGTGGAAGGTGAACCAAAGCCCACATACAACCACAACCACACTCATCCCCTTTTCTATTCTTCTCTTTTTCTTTCGAATAACAACTACCATCTCCTGCCTATAAACTTTTAGATGCACAAGAATACCGAAACCCACTTGAACATTGCTTTTCCAAGTGCCTCCTACAACTAACTTACTAAAATAACTGGATACTGTCTCATCAGTGTACTATTGCTGCATCCAACTCGATTTATATGTTGAAGTTGAGAATTGGTTCATGCTTCTCATATCAACAAAAAAATGAAAATAATTAAATAAAATAAATAATATAATAATAAAACTTTCTATGAATATCATTATAATCGGATCGGATATATGAAGTACGGTAACGAAAATAATAAATTTTTTGTACTATAGTCTAACCCAAATAATCGAGGGAGACCTAACCAGTAACCACAAAGCACTGTGGATGTTAGTTTCAACAATATGACACACAAAAGAAGACCCAGAACATGTGGTCCATTGGGTTGGAAAGATTTTGATCAGAGGGTTTGTTAAATTATTAATCCAAGGTTGTTGAGAGTTTTGACAAAAGAAAAGTGGAGATCACTGACTCAATTGCTATAATTTAATGCCTTACTTTATACCTACCTGAAGGTTACCCATAGTTAATGTCCCTTCCAACTTATATAGTATATGATATATGACGCCAATATCATCAAGAGAGAGGCCACCAGCCACTCCCTCAAACCTGTCTCACCAACTCACATCTAGAAGCAATTAGGGTAACTTTTCTCTCTCTCCCCCAATAGGAGTCAAAATCCTATATAATCCAACTTCAAGTCCTCAAACCTCAAAAGGGCCGGCCTTGATGCACAAGCACCTCCAAGGCTAGAGTTCCATTTCTACACCATCATCACAGCAACGACCAAACAGAGAAAGAAAAACAGAAAATCTCTGAGCCTTGGCTAGTAAATTGACTTGTAATTTCAATATTACATGGGAAGGTCACCTTGCTGCGAGAAAGCTCATACCAATAAAGGAGCATGGACCAAAGAAGAAGATGATCGGCTCATCGCTTATATCAGAGCTCACGGCGAAGGTTGCTGGCGATCACTTCCCAAGGCCGCAGGGCTTCTCCGATGCGGCAAGAGTTGTCGTCTCCGATGGATCAACTACCTGAGGCCTGACCTCAAACGTGGGAATTTTACAGAAGAAGAAGACGAGCTCATAATCAAACTTCATAGTCTCCTTGGTAACAAGTAAGTCTAAAATCCATAATATTTTCTCATCAAAAATCTATACTTAGTTGATTATCCTTCTTCTACAAGTCTGCTAGTTTTGAATTAACGAGGTTTTACGGTTATTTTTATAGGTGGTCTCTTATAGCTGGAAGATTACCAGGAAGAACAGACAATGAGATAAAGAATTATTGGAACACCCATATAAGAAGAAAGCTTCAGGGTCGTGGCATCGATCCAGCGACTCACCGGCCAATCAACGAGCCTGCGCAGGAAGTCACAACCATATCTTTCGCCAGTGCAACTTCTAAAGAAGAAGAGAAGATGACTACTGGTTTTGTATGCAAAGAAGAGAAGAGCCCGGCTCGCGAACTGTGTCCTGACTTGAACCTTGAGCTGAGAATTAGTCCTCCTTATCACCAACAATCTGAGCCATTGAAGACTGGAGGGAGGACTAGTACTATATGTTTTTCTTGCAGCTTGGGAATTCAAAATAGCAAAGATTGCACTTGTAGTAGTGGTACCAGTAGCAGTAGCTCTGGTTATGACTTCCTAGGGTTGAAAACTGGTGTCTTGGACTACAGAAGCTTGGAGATGAAGGGAATATGGATGGGTTTGAGTTATGTATCAAAAAAAGGAGGGAAGGGAGAGGGATGAGGACAGAGAAGAAAGAAATGAGGAAGAGAGTGGTATTAGGTTAAAATCTTTCTGACTTTCTCTTGTTTGTTTGTAAACCTCTATAAGTTACATAGCAATATAATACCAGTACAGATTACCATTCGATTATGATTTGGAAAATTTGGTGAATGTTTTGCGTTTATTGAGTGAGGGGCAATTGCTTTGTTTGTTTCTCGGTATGAGTTTTCTTCCTTTTCAATAGAGTTTCGTACTCTTGGTATGGTTGTTGCAGAACGTTATTGCTAGCAGCAAGTAGAGATAGAATTACTGAGGTCCATATGGGTGGAAACTGGAGAGAGTGGTACTATTTGTTTTGTTAAAAAGAAAAGATGGATGTGTTATCCAACTAAGAAAAGCGATTAAATGATGTGATGATCAAATAGTCGTGTATTTTATTCACTATATCAATGTCACATTATTTATTATTTATTATTTATTCAATTTTTTCAATTAGTCTAGCATTACTCGTGTTGTTAATACAAGATGTTCAGAACAATATTCGTCTAAGAACATATGCATGTACTGAGGTTCTCTCTTTCCATCTTACAAAAAGCTCTTTTTTTTTTTTTTCCTTTTCATTTTCTCCGTCTTTATCTTTTGGTGCCTTTGTGATGAATCTTTCGATATATATGTTGATGATTCATGTGAGGGAGAGAATTTTGAGGGCCTCCTTAGACTATTTTCTGTTCATTGCTTTTTCTTTTTCTAATAATAGATTCTTTTTGGGTTTATCTTCTTTGGAAAAAGATTGGGTTTTTGCATATGGGGGGTGCAACGGATAAGCAGTGAGAGGATGAGAAGAAAAGGAGAGGGAGAGGTGGGTAACCTATCTCTTCCAATATAATAAAAGCACTAAAAACTATATAAAATGCGTGAAGAAACTAACTGCTTTCCGTAGGACCTTTTGTCTACCAACCTAACAATTATTATCATACCCATGAACTACCCACCCAAGCATGTACAATTGGAAAACCTAATTACCTAGATTTTGTTCCTCTTCATTTTCTCTCTGATACATTTATCATACTCAAATCAATGGCAAATTCAACAGCAAGTCCCCTCGAAAAAAACAGTGTGACTTTTTTTTGATTTACAGTATAATGGATCCGAATTTGGGTTGTCCAAATGCGGGGTTTTGCTGTTGTTATAGAACTGCAGTTTTGAGCTTCTAAATATCGTAGTGATATTTGCCAAATTGCGAGTTCTATGCTGAGAACAAGCAAAACATTTTCAACCCTCACATTAGAGGTTATGATGTTGTGGAGATATTATTTTTTGACTAGTAGTTTTGTGTTGGCCATATAATTAATAATGCATTGGTATTGTATATAATAGACAAGCAGAGGGTCTTTGTTCCACACATTGAGGGTGAAAAATCAAACAAAAAGCCAGAACGAAATGGCTTTTATTGCAACAAAAATGTTCTTTATTCCTGGTTGGGATAAGCATGGCAGAAAAAAAAAAAAAGAAACAAAAAGATGGGCGCCATCAACGCTTTTTTTTTAGGTGAAAATTGTTTTGCAATGTCACAATCTATCTATGTCACAATTACGCTGCCTTATTTTGAAGTGTCAACTTCTGCTACCAGAATTTTTTATGGGTGTTAATTCTGGTAGCAGAATTTTTTTTTTTTTATGGGTGTTAATGAGCTTCACCAATTGTCAAATGCTTTAACTCTATGAATCAACTATGAGACCATGGACATGTTAGCTTTTTTTTTTTTTTTTGGTACACTGGAAAATGAAAGCAAAGAAAACACTTACAAATCCCAAGTTACTTTAACAAAAGAAGCTCCAGCCAGATCTGCATCAATGAGATGTCTAATTTGCCCTGGCAGCCTATCAAGCTTGACAAATTTATCGGTTTAGCAAGCTCATCTGCACACTGATTCCCTTCACGTAGGGTATGCTTCATCATACTGCCAGTCTCCCCTAGTAATTTGACACAGTTCCTTACTAAGAGGTTGTGACAGAAACAGGAATGCCTCATAGGAGTCTGTCTCCACTTCCACTCTCCTTAAGCCATGTTCTCTGATAAGTTCCAGGCCTTTGAGTGAGGCCCACAACTCCGCTTTGACATGTTAGATAAGAATCAAAAAGATATGCTTGTTAATTTTGTCTCTCCTTTTACATTTTGTGATTCTAGTTCCAACAAAAATTACACAAACTAACCCAATTGTGTCGTGTTACGAAGAAAATTACAACAAATAGAGTGTTAAGAGTTAAAAAAGAAAGTACGACGCTCTCCTTTTTATTAAGTTCACCATGTCTCCGTGGCACGAGTACGGAGATGTAGTAAGTTTCTTTGGAAGCAAAACATGTAAAACAGTTAGTCCCTCCACCCTCCATGTGTTGTACCTCTTTTTTTTTTTTCTATACTTTGTTTGGAATGATTGGGTCTTCCCTCGCATTGGAGTTGGCCCTACTCAAAAGGGTTTGTCAATGGAATTGAGAAGAAATATATTCCTTGCAGTTTTCATGCATTATCTCAGACAATGCCATCACACTATATATCAAAGCTTTTATAAGCTTACAATAAAACTTAGTTATAGGTTAAGGGGTTAGACCCACCACCAAAATTGCAAACCACCGCCATTAATTCATTTTTATGTCACTGGGGTCCAACCTGAACGACCACTCGATCTGGTTCTTGCTCCATTTATGAACCTTCAACATATGATAAGACAATAACTATTTAAATATGAACAATCCCCAAAGATGGGGGTGGGTCTGTAATAAAATTGAGACTGAATGATCTCTCTCTCTCTCTCTCTCTCTCTCTCTGTGGGTAGGTATATGCTTACTAAGTCACTTACTTCTGTATTAGGTAGTAATTAATTGAGGTAAGATTTGACCTAACTTATTTTTAAAGTTTCCAAACACACCCCGAAAAAGGTCACTTAATATATATATATATATATATGACTGTCAGCAAAAGGACACATATTGGGTGGTAGCTGATTTGAAACAAGAACCCTAAAAACAGTAGCCCTCCCCTCCCCCACATCTTCCTTTTGTTGTTTCTTTTTCAAAGGGGTTAGGTAGAAACATTAGAAGCTTCCATAAGATATTTTAATCCCCTTTTCCTCACTCCAACTCTCAAAATTTGTTTTAAAAAAAGGTGTACAAGTCTTTGTGTTGTTATTAATTATTGCTTCTCTCTCTATCGATAGGGTAATAATTGTTCTACCCCAATAGTTTATAGTTCAATTCCTACTAACATCACATGATCAGTGTACGTGAAGGTGGCCCCCCACAGCCGGGTCCCCCTTTCCGGATCCAAAACCTCAGCCAAACTGACTCAACAAATAAAAAAATTTGCTAAAAATTCTTCAAAATAATGCGCAAAACCCTTCTTTTGGTGCTTGCAGTATGATTGGCACATCCAAATTTGATAGAAGACAAAGACCAAATTTAATGGGTCTTCTTGATTGCATTTTCTCTCATCCACAACTTTTAATCCTTTTAATTCTTTATGATTTTTTGGTGTGTGAAGGGTGGGGATGGGTTGTCTTGTATGTTATTCCTTCTTTGTTCATCCATAGTGAAAATTTGAGAACAACAAAATGCAACGAGGGACTCTGCATGAAATTTTGTGGCAGGCTCTTCTCAAAAACTTAGCCAGTCTAGTGGCTCCTCAACATATATTGTAGCTACTTCAATTACATTTATGTTAGAATGCGAGAGAACCAAGGTGGAAGAGGGTTTAAAGAAAACTATATGCCCTTTATTGCACCTCAACAAAAGTATTTGACAGGTATTGGAAATGTTATTTATTGGCTAAAGGTGGTTTGATTGAAAATCTTTATCCGATATTCTACTTTCACTACAAAAAAATAGTGTTTACAATAGAATTAGCATTTTAATGGAATTAAAACTTTCTTGTCACCTTTTCTCCAAGTTAATGTACGTACGTACGTACGTACACACTTGTACCCAATTTTCAATTTAATCAAATTCTCCTATCGACTTTTTAAATAAATATTACTCTCTCTAAATATCAAAAAAGTTACATCGTAGTTTAGACCGACCACATAATGGCAAGCAATGTGATGATGAAAATTTGGTAGAAGGCCTACTGCAAAGATTATCAATCATATGTACAAATGATTAAGGTTTATGTGATTGGGTAGGATTGTTAAGGTTAATTGGGGACAGATAGAGGTTGTTAAGGTTACTTTGCCCTTTACCAGAAATTAGGGAATAATAATAATAATTATGGTGTGTGTTTGTGTAGGCCTAGGTTAGGGCCTAGTGGGTAACCTAAGAAAAACTGTGGAGGATGGTAGAATCGTAAATAGAAGGGGAATTATGGGCGATAGATGTAACATGTGGGACGTCAATATCCAAAACGCTACCAACTCCTCTCTTTTTGGGCGGTAGTTGGCAGCCGCCCGACGTAGGCTCATGTGCTCTGGTTGCGGCTGTGGGCCCCTTTCAGCCCACTGTTCTGGGCCCACACTTACACCATCTCTCTCTCTCTCTCTCTCTCCTAGTCTTATCCCCACTTGCAACTTACTTTTCATTCTGCACTTCTTCCCTTATCATGCGCATCCCGTCACCTCACTTGGATATTTCTTCACCTTCTTCTTCTTCTTTTTGTTCTTAGTTTTTTCTTTTTAGTTTAACTTTTTTTAATACTCAGGTATTAACTGTGATAATTATAAAGAAACCTTATGAGTTGAATCACTCTAGTAAATAATGTTTATATTAAGTTAAAAAAATACAACCATAACTTAAAAGATCTAGCTAGTTCTATCCATGTCACCTCATAATCAAAACAAACACTACAATCTCAAGGGTCAATCCACCCTTAACCACCCCAGTGATTTTGGGGGGACTTATGCTTTTGTCAAGGTCTTAACGCTCTTATGTGTTTCCGTTTCTTCCTTATGCTAGTTACAAACGTACGTCGAGTATCTAGTCCAAAATTTATAAAGAACTTTGGACAAGTATATTAGCAAATCAACTACTATACCC